TTATCTACATAGGTAGCAAGCTCCTTAGCTTAGGCTCCTCCGTCTCTACCTGCTGGATTCCCTGACTTGTAGTCACACCCTCCTGTCCCTAATCATTGACCAATTCTAAAGTATTATCGAGCCTCAGGAATGTGACTGCCCCAAATGAAGTGTACAGCTGACGATATAACCATAAGGAATGGGTACAGGAGTAGGCCCTTCGATCCTGCTCCGCTACTGAATAGGATCATAGCTGATCTGACATTCCTCATGTCAACTTTCCTATCCTTTCCCTGTAACCTTTGATTCCCTTACTCACCAAGAATCTATCTCAGCCTTAACTATACACAAAGACTCTGCACCAAAAGCTCTCTATGGCACAGGCTTCCAAAGACTCACAACCTCTGAGAGAAGAAATTGTTCCTCTTCTCTGTCGTAAATTGGTACCTCCTTATTCTGAGACTATGCCCTCTGGTTTAGATTCTCTCAGCACTCACTTTTTATTCACTCTTGGAACATAGGTGTTGCTCGCTAGCCAGCATTTGCCTGACCCTAGTTGGTCAAGAAGGTGGTGGTGAGCTGGCTTCTTGAACCGCTGCAGTCCATGTGCTGTAGGTTAACCCACAATGCCCTTAGGGAAGGAATTCCAGGATTTTGACCCAGCCACAATGAAGTAGCAGTGATATATTTTGAAGCCAGGATGCGGAGTGGCTTGGAGGGAAATTTGTAGTTGGTGGTGTTCCCGTGTATCTGCTGCCCTCGTCCTTCTAGGTGGAAGTGGTCATGGGTTTGGAAGGAGCTGAAGTTTGGATTGCATCTTGTAGAGAGGACACACTTATGCCAAGCATTGGTGATGGCATCAGTGGATGCTTGTGGATGAATGCCAATCAAGCGGCTGGTTTATTCCAGATGGTGTCAAGCTTCTTGAGTGTTGTTGGAGTTGCGCCCATTCAGACAAATGGGAAGTATTCTATCAAACCTGTGAGTTGTGCTTTGCAGATGGTGGTCAGGCTTTGGGGAGTCAGGAGGTGGGATATTTACCACAGCGTTCCTAGCATCTGACCTGCTCTTGCAGCCACTGTATTTATGTGGTGAGTCCAGCTGAGTTTCCGGTCAATGGTAACCCTCAGGATGTTGACAGTGGGGAATTCACTGATGGTAACACCATTGAATGTCAAGGGGGCGGTGGTTAGATTGCATCTTATTGGTGATGGTCATTGCCTGGCATTTGCGTAGCACGATTGTTATTTGCCACTTGTCAGACCAGCTTCAGTATCTGAGGAGTTGCAAATGGTGCTGAATAATTGGCAATCATCAACCAACATTGTCACGTCTGACCTTATGATGGAAGGAAGATCATTGATGAAGCAGCTGAAGCTGGTTGGGCCTAGGACACTATCCTGAGGTGCTCCTACAAAAATGCCCTGGAACTGAGATGACTGACCTCCAACAACCACAACCATCTTCCTATGTGCTAGATATGACTCCAAGGAGCAGAGAGCTTTCCCCCTGATAACCATTGATTCCAGTTTTGCCTGGGCTCCTAGATGCCACATTTGTTCAAATGCGGCCTTGATATCAAGGGGTGTCACTCTCACCTCAGCTCACCTCCTGCCAAGCCCCTAAGAATCTTATACTTTTCAATGAGATCACCTCTTAGTCTTCTAAACTCCAACGAGTAGGGTCCTAATCTTGTTTAGCCTTTGCTCATAACGTAATCCCTCCATACCAGGGAACATCCTAGTGACCCCTGGAATCCTCAGATGGGCTCAGATTCCAGCACTGTGATGCTGCACTGAAGTTGCTCATACTGCCAACACTGACCAGTCAAATGTTTGTGCCGAACTGCAATGCATTTGACAATTCCAATTTCTTGCTGTCACAGTATTGTCCCTGCAACGTCTGTCTAGATTTATTTGTGTAATTAGCCTATTGGTTACTCACTTATAAGGCTGAAGTAAAAGCAAGTTTCCTAGCTTGGAGACAAGGGAATAATGCTCACCTGCTCCTAGCAGCTGAGAAAAAGTCAGAAAAGCAGCAACATTTTCCCCCTCTGCACTAAATTCTAACCTATACCAAAGTTCCAATTTAGTGCTCATTCGTCACTGTAATCAGGTTGCTTTTCAGAATGAAATAATTATTTCCAATGGCAAGTACAAAGAAATTACTTAAAGCCACAAGCACAAAAAAAAAATTCTTTGTGTAAAACTTTTGATACCTTTCAAGAAATTTACAAAGTAACTCAAAGCATCTTATTTAAAATGAGCCAAGTGTTGTAGGAATGTGGTGGACTTGAATGATGAATCCAATCCCTTTTAATGGATATACTGAATTGTCTTCCTATTTTCTTTACTCTCCCTTGTTTACCGCCTCCCACATTCCGTGAAGAATGAAAGTCAACCAAGTGTGGTTTGAAAGAAACTTTGATTCATGACAAAAGTGATTTCATCGTCAGATTGGCAACTATCAAGGGAGCAGATGCTTGAAAGCAAACCAAGAACCACAGATATTAAGCAATCTGCTTTACAGTCTTCTTTGTGCCCATGTGCATACCTTGGGCTACAGAACACAAATGCTCAGAACTGTAAAATCCCCTTAAGTGAGTCTAAATGTTCTAGCCCAGATATCAATGGCACATAACAATCGGGATACCATTCCATGTAATGTGGTACACCTTTGTTACACTAATTAACAATAGTACACAGTCACATTGACACTGGTCGCTTAGAGATTCCAAGGACCAGGGTCTGTCTCAAGTGGTCAATCTGTCAACAGTTCTCCTGGCACATCTTCTGGAGCAAGTGACCAATCTATTCTAACCTTGCCTGCTGCACCCAGTTGTTTATAAAATCTTCTCCTTATAATCATTTCCATGGTATAGCAATGTCCTATAAGGTAATACCTGATTTTGGACCACTCACTTATTTTTCAATTATATCACGTTGTGTTTGAAGCCCAGCATTTATTGTCCATCTTTAGTTGCCCTTGGGAAAGTGGTAGTGAGCTACATTCTTGAATTGCCGTAGTCCATGTTGCACCTGGCTGTTTTTATTCAAGCATGGCCTTGCAAAAGGGGTCCAGAGATTCTTAATTCCAGACTTTTTCTATTGAATTCAAATTCCACCATCTGCCATGGCGGGATTCGAACCTAGGTCTCCAGTTTAGGTTACCCAGGACTGTTAGTGACTAACAATAGGTAGTGTGTAATGGCAGGCTATGTGATAACAAGGCCTGGTGTGTGGGGTAGGTTACCTGGGTCTTGAGGAATATTGTTATCCCTGAACTATCTGTTGCCTGCCACTTTAATGCACCACCCTGTTCCCTGGCCAACATCTCTGTCTCTGGCTTACTGCGGTGTTCCATCAAAGCCCAACACAAGCTGGAAGAACAACACCAGAACAGCAACTTTGTTTTTGCTATCTACTGTAGCTGACACAGTGGCAGCCACTGTCACTCTGTGCATTTGCACGTGGATCATTACTTACACATTGTATTCTTTGCCTTGATCAAAAACTGAAGTTGCTGGAAAAGCTCAGCAGGTCTGGCAGCATCTGTGAAGAAAAAATCAGAGTTAACGTTTCAGGTCCGGTGACCTTCCTCAGACTGATGGTAGCTGGGAAAATGTCAGTTTATATGCAGAAAATAGGGAGGAGGATGTGGTAGGGAGTCAACGATAGGATAGGGCCCAAAGAGAGAGGAGGAGTTGGATAGACAAAGGAGTTGCTAACGATCAGGCTGGGAGGGTGAGTAGTTGTTAATGGGGACTGTTAGTGACTAACAACAGGGGGTGTGTAGTGGCAGGCTATGTGGTAACAAGGCCTGGTGTGTGAGGTGGGGGCTGGGACATGGGAGAGTTTAGGCCCTAAAATTATTGAACTTGATATTGAGTCTGGAGGGCTGCAGGGTCCCCAAGCGGAAGATGAGGTGTCGTTCTTCCAACTTGCGTTGGGCCTAGCTGGAACACTACAGCAAGCCAGAGGCAGAGATGTTGGCCAGGGAGCAACACTTAACCTGCACTTCCCAGAATACATCTACTGCATTCGCTGCTCACAATGTGATCTCCTCTACACCGGGGAAACGAAGTGTAGACTGGGTGACCGCTTCGCAGAACATCTACGTTCTGTGTGCAAAAAAGACCCTGAGCTACCTGTTGCCTGCCACTTTAACACACCACCCTGTTCCCTGGCCAACATCTCTGTTTCTGGCTTGCTGCAATGTTCCAGCGAAGCCCAGCATCCGTTCTGAGGAAGGGTCACCGGACCCGAAACATTAACTCGGAATTTTTTCTTCACAGATGCTGCCAGACCTGCTGAACTTTTCCAGCAACTTCTGTTTTTGTTCCTGATTTACAGCATCCACAGTTCTTTCAGTTTTTCTTTGCCTTGATGGCTGACCAATGTTCAGCTTACATCCACAAGACATAAGACCATAAAATATAGGAGCAGAATTAGGCTGTTTGGTGCATCAACCCTGGTCCACTATTCACTCATGGCTAATATGTTTCTAAACCCCATTCTCCTGCCTTCTCCCTGTAACCCTTAATCCCCTTACCAATCAAGAACCTATCTACCTCTGTCTTAAGTACACACTGTGACTTGGTTTACACAAGTTTCTGCAGTAATGAATTGAATAGATTCACCAACCTCTAGCTGAAGAAGTTCCTCCTCATCTCAGTTATAAAAGGTTGTCCCTTCACTCTGAGGCTGTGCCCTTGGATCCTTGTCTCTCCTACTAGTTGGAACATCTTCTCCACACCTACTCTACCCAGGCCTCTCAATATTTTGCAATGAGATCCTCCTCTCATTGTTCTAAACCCCATCGAGTACAGACTCAGAGTCCTCAATTACTCTTCATACAACAAGCCCTTCATCCCCAGGATCTTCTTGTAAACTTCCTCTGGACCACTTCCAAGGCCAGCACATCCATCCTTCCTTAAATACAGGGCCCAAAACTGCTCACTATCCCAAGTGAACATTTCCCTCATTCAACATTCACAATTCAAGACAGTGTTTAATAGATTTAACCTCTTTATGTAGCTGATGGTACAGTTGTTTCACATTTTCTTTCTTTATGACAATCATGTCTTTACATTTAATTGAGAGCTATCACAAACAAGCAAAATTCACTTTGTCATGCATGGCTTGCATATCTTAACAATTTAGTACTGACTTGGACCACATGCTGGTTGGTTTAAGCAAAACAGACATCTTAAAGTGACAGTCCAGTTAAATACAACTAAACATTACAGAATATCCGTCAACATGATTAACGGAAATCTACATGATCAAAGGAAATCTATAACGATAATTTCTGAAGAAGGGTCACTGGGCTTGAAACTCAATAGAACTGTTCCTCTTAATGGATACTGGCAGACCTGCTGAGTTTCTCCAACAATTTATATTTTTGCTTGTTTCAGATTTCCAGCATCTGCAGTTCTTCATTTTAATTTACATATTATTAATTACTTTGAAATATGTTGGATTCTGCAACTTTTACATGTTAAAAATAAATATGCTAGCACCACATGCGTTATCTTCGACTCTCTCTCCCAGGCTACTTAGCACATCATACCTGGGGAGTAGTGCTGTATGATAAGTAGTGGAGATCGAGGCATGAGTCAGAGATTCGATCTGACACCCACAGTTTCACCAAAGTGCTGTTCGAAAACAGTCAGTGACTCGGAATGTAAAGAACTTTTGCAGTGAAATTGTCGACGGGTGAGCGAAGGCTGTTTATGTTCCACCAGGAGGCGCACACCCTTCCAGCGCAAGGAAAGAGGGAACCTCGAGGACTGCCGTATCGTCTCGGCGCTGCAAGGCCGCGCGGAGCTTTCCCTGCGCTTGGAACGCGGCTGTCAATCAAACAGCTCCCCGGGGGCCGGAGCTGTCAATCAAACAGCTCCCCGGGGGCCGGAGCTGTCAATCAAACAGCTCCCCGGGGGCCGGAGCTGTCAATCACAATCCCAGTTGCTGGCCAAGCGCGAATTTTAAAGGGACACCCGCGTTCCTGCAGGATTTGCTCGTTACGAACGACCTGGCGTTGTAAGGGTCTAGGCCCGAAACGTCAGCCTCTCTGCTCCTATGATGCTGCTTGGCCTGCTGTGTTCATCCAGCCCTGCACCTTGTTGTCTTGGATTCACCAGCATCTGCAGTTCCAACTATCTCTGGCGTTGTAAGTGTTCGGTTTTGCTTTCGGTATCTATTATCTTCTGGCGAGCTGGGTTGTGCGTCGATAACTTTGGCCACACCAGCTCAGCAAGGACTTTGCGTGGGAGCGTGCTGCATGGGGCGGAGATGGAAGCAGCCAGGAAGTTCTTTGTTCTGCTCCTGCTGGAGGGTCGTTTCTTTTCAAACAGATCTCACTTTCCAATTCAGGCTCATTTTTGTTTTAGATTTTCCAGGATTTTCTTTTTCAGAACCTGCTTTTTTACTTGAAATATAACCAGAAAGTGACATAAACGAGACAACAGCAAGTCAGGCAGCATCAAAGAGAAAAAAAAGTTAATTTTTCAGGTTCATGACCACAAACTTTAACCATACACTTTTTGTCGTCAGATTTCCAACTCCTGTTGCAGTTCTCCATGGAAGCAAATTAAGGAGTTGAGATGGACAAGAACTTCTGAAGAAAAACACGTATAAATATATCAGGAATCTAGATTTTGCAGATGGTTGATCGAGGCAACTCATCACTGACGTTGGGTTAAGAAGAAAGCTGCCCACAAACATCTAGTGACCTTGGGGTTGTGAAGTTGCCTCTTGCCAAAGATCAGTTTGACTCCATGCACCCAGCAACAGTGATGTCATCATGCAAGGTAAGCAACCAATCACATTGAACAATTCTCACAGACAACAAAGCAGGAGGTAAACTGCACTAAAAATCCCTCATTTTTTTCAAAGTTATGATTTCCCATAGTATAAAATAGATGTCTGAAACACACACACACATAAGATTCAGGTAGGAAATGAAGGATCGTGTACTGTAAAAATATTATCTTAAAATGTGGAACATAAACAGAGGTTGCTGGAAAAGCTCAGCAGGTCTGGCAGCATCTGTGAAGAAAAATCAGTTCTGTGGAAAATTCACTGACCTGAAACATTAACTCTGATTTTTTTCCCCACAGATGCTGCTAGACCTCCTGAGCTTTCTCAGCACTGTTTTTGTTCCTAATTTACAGCATCTGCCGTTCATAGAATCATAGAATCCCTACAGTGTGGAAACAGGCCCTTTGGCCGAGCAAGTCCACACCAACCCTCAGAGCATCCCACCCAGACCCATCTCCCTATAACCCACCTAGTCTACACATCCCTGAACATTGTGGGCAATTTAGCATGGCCAATCCACCTAACCTGCACATCTTTGGATTGTGGGAGGAAACTGGAGCACCTGGAGGAAACCCATGCAGACATGGGGAAAATGTGCAAACTCCACACAGGCAGTCACCCAAGGATGGAATTGAACCTGGGTCCCTGGTGCTGTGAGGCAGCAGTGCTAAGCACTGAGCCACCGTGCCACCCCCTTTTTTCTTTTGAGGGAGGAAACGATGGAGAGGGAGAAAACGAGGGAGAGGGAGAAAAGTTCTTTCGGTTTTTATTTTAAAATGTGTTCTTTTCCATAATTTAAGTCTGGCATTCTACAAATGGAAAATTAGTTTTTCAGAGACAGTGAGGCTTTTCATTAGCAACTCTGGATTTACTATGCTATTAAAAGCCTGGTTACAACTCATTGAATACGTTGCAAATTTTTCAAGGACTTTTACTGTGAGACTAAAGGTGTAAAAGGGCAAGTTCTCATCAATTCATTACTTATTCTTGATTTCAACCTGTGAGGTGTTTACCTGTGGAGAAATATAAAAACATTGACAGCAAATTATGGATTTCTCTGCTTAGGTGCATTTGCAGACTCCAGAGTTTGATGCCAGTTTCAGGAGAATAATGATGGTGGACAAGGACAATTTCACTGTTGCATATCATGCAGAATCAGGGCCTTTCCTACTGTTGAAAAGTTAAATGAAGAATTTGAATTGCACCCACCCTCTGAAACCTGCCAAAGAGCTGGGATAGAAACTCTGGGGAAAATCTTCAGTGAAGTGATAACAAGAGTCCAGATGCCAGATGGTTCTGCAATTGCAGCATGCAGATGTGAAATAAATGCCATCATCTGATCATAAATTCTACATGATAGCTGTGAGGGGGACAGTATACTGGAGGTCTCAGTAGTTTGGAAATCCAAAAGAAAATTGGTACAACTAACAGTGTTTTGAGATTTCTGTGGTCAACACTGTGCGTGACATTTTGGAACCCATCCTTGCGCTTTTAAACCTGAAACGATGTGCAAATGTTGGACTATTGCCATCAAAGGTATTCTTAAAGCATTGAGGCAAAATAATATTCTTATTGCAGTCGACAAATATGTTTGCCTTTTTTGATTAGTGCATTTGGTTACAGCACATTGGTTAGACCACTTTTGGAATACTGTGTTCAATTCTGGTCTCCCTGGTATAGGAAAGATGCTGTTAAACTTGAAAGGGTAATAGAAAAGATTTACAAGGATGTTGCCGGGGTTGGAGGGTTTGAGCTATTTAGAGGGTTTGAGCTTTGGGGAGAGGCTGAATAAGTTGGGGCTATTTTCCCTAGTGAGTTGGAGTCTGAGGGGTTTATTGATAAAACAAAGTGAAGACGGGAAAATTGGACAGATGGTGCAAAAGATCGGAAAGGATGTTCTGAGATAGTAGGAACTGCCGATGCTGGAGAATCTGAGATAACACGGTGTAGAGCTGGATGAACACAGCAGGCCAAGCAGCATCAGAGGAGCAGGAAAGCTGACGTTTCGGGTCGAGACCCTTCTTCAGAAATGGGGGAGGGGAAGGGGATTCTGAAATAAATAGGGAGAGAGGGGGAGGCAGATAGAAGATGGACAAAGGAGAAGATAGGTGGAGAGGAAACAGGCAGGTCACAGAGGCACTGTTGGTTGTTCAGAATGTAATGACAGTGAGATAATGTACAACAGAATGTGCGAACTAAAAGGAAAGTGGTCTTCTTTTCACTGAGGCATATCCTTGACAAATTAATGCAGAAAAGTTTTTGAATTTACTGCTTCTGACTAGGTACAACAATATTGCGGTTATCAAATAGTTAAATCAATGTGCTTTGTATACAGTAATTGACATAGTTTTTATTATTTACAAGCTTTACATGTCCCTTATATAGGTTCATACGGTGTGGCGCACAGAAAATATATTGGACAAAGTAAGAAACATCCTACAGCAGAAAGGGTATACAGATATTGAATGCATCGGTCAAGGTGGATTCAGTATTGTATATAAGGTAGGTAAAGTTATTTTGTTAAGTATATGTTTTGTTTTCTTATTTGTTTCTGTTGAAACTATTTGGAATATGGATAGGAAACGAGAGAGCACTGATTTAAGATAATTAACAATTGAATCAGGGTGAAGATGAACAGCATTTGTTATTTGCTTAATTGCTAGAATGGGTGGTGGAAGCAATTCAATAATAGTTTTCTAAAGGGAGTTAGATACTTATTGAAAAGGTAATATTTGTATGGGTATGAGGCATGAGTGAATCACAGAATCATTACAGTGTGGACGTAGGCCATTCGGCCCATTGAGTCCACACTGACCCTCCAAAGAGCATCCCACCCAGATCTACCCTATTCTTGTAACCCTGCATTTCCCATTACTAACCCACCTAGCCTTTACATCGCTGGACACTATGGGGCATTTTAGCATGGTAAATCCTGCACCTCTTTGGACTGTGGGAGGAAACTGTGCATCCAGAGGAAACCCACGCAAACACGGGGAGAATATCCTTTATTGTCACGTGTACTTCAGTACAGAAGTATAGGAGTACAGTGAAAAGTTTCTACAATGGCTGCCTTTAATGACAAGAATCCAGGCACAAAACTTAGTGTTGTTGCAGAGTAAAAAAAAAATTAGCATGAAAACAGTAAAAAGTCCAGAATGATAAGTGCTCATCAATACTTCAGTTAGTTAAGAATTGAACCTGGATCCCTGGCGCTGTGAGGCATTAGTGCTAACCACTGAGCTGCTTTTTTTTCCTTTATTCATTCACGAGATGAGGGCATTGCTGGCTAGGCAGCATTTATTGCCCATCCCTAATGCCCAGAGGGCAGTTAAGAGTCAACAACATTGCTGTGGGTCTGGAATGACATGTAGGCCAGACCAGGTAAGGATGGCAGTTTCCATGCCTAAACGACATTAATGAACCCGATGGGTTTTTCCTGACAATCGACAATGAATTAATGGTCATCTTTAGATCCCTACCTTAATTCCAGATATCTTATTGAATTCAAATTCCACCATCTGCTGTGGCAGGATTTGAACCTGGGTCCCCAGAATGTTATCTGGGTCTCTGGATTAACAGTCCAGTGATAATACCACTAGGCTATTGCTTCCCCTACTGTGCCAAGTGGGATTGATTGGGTAGCTGACTGCAGGGTAATCACAAAAGCCAAACTGACACTGCTGCCGCATGTGCAAAATGTAACTATAGACAGTGCCAGTTTGTTTAACTATATGTCCACAGGATGTGGATATTGCTGACTCGAACAGCATTTATTGCAGATCCCTAATGCCCTTGAGAAGGTGGCTATGAACTGCCTTCTTGACTGCTGCAGTCCTCAGAGGGTGGGTACACCCATGGCTCTATTACAAAGGAAGTTCCAGGATTTTGACCCAGTGAGAGCAAAAGAGTGGCAAATAATTATAAGTCAGAAAAGTGTGTAACTTGAAAGAACTTACATGTGGTGGTGTTCCCATGTGTCTACTGCCCTTGTTCTTCTCGCTAGGAGTGGTCACAGGCTTGGAAGGTGCTTTCAAACGAGCTGTGGTGAGTTGCTGCAGTGCATCTTATAGATGGTACATGCTAGTGCCATTATGTATCAGTAATGGAGGAAGTTAATGTTTCAGGTGATAAATGAGGTCTGCATCAAGCTTTGCTGCTTTGTTCTGGATGTTGGAAAGTTTCTTGAGTGTTGTTGGAGTAAGGAGAATTGCATTATACTCCTGATTGTGCCTTGTGGATGTTGGACTAGCGTTGAGGAGTCAGGAGGCGAGTAACTCTCTATGGAAGTCTTAGCGTCTGATCTACTCTTGTAGTCACAGTATTTATGTGCCGAATCCACTTCAGCTTCTGGTCAGCAGTAACCCCTAGTATTTGTTAATCGGGGATTCAGTGATGGTCATGCCATTGAATTTCAAGTAGAGGTGGTTACATTCTCACTTGTTGAAAATGGTCAGTGCCTGACTCTTGTGGGAATGTTATTTGTCCCTTTCAGCCCAAGCTTGAACGATGTTCAGTTCTTGCAGCAGATGGAAACACATCCCTGCAACATCTGAGGAGTCACGGATGGTGCTGAACATTGTGCAATCATCAGCGAACATCCCCACTTCTGACCTTATAATGGAGGGAAAACAATGTTCTATGTTGATGGGTGGATGCCAGTGTTGTAGCTGAATTGGATCAGCTTATCTAGGCATGGAACTAGTTCTGGAGCATGTATTCAGTATCATAGCTGGAATACTGGGGCCTTTGCCATGTCCAGTTCCTTCAGCCATTGGTTGATATTACTTGGAGTGAAAAAAATTGGCTGAAGAATGGCATCTGGGATGCTGGGAACTTCCTGAGGAGGTTGATATGAATTATCCACTCAGTATTTCTGGCAGAAGAGTTTTACACATGCTACAGCCTTGTCTTTTTAACTGAATTGTTAGGCTGCCCCCGTCATTGAAGATCTATGAAACCGCCTCTTCAGATTCGTTGTTTGGTTGTTCACCATCAATCAGAGTTGGACATGACAGAGCTGCAATCTGATCTGTTAGTTGTGGGATCACTTAGCTTTGTCTGTTGTGTGCTCCTTATGCTGTTTGCCACACAAGTAGCCCTGTTTTATAGTTTCATCTGGTTGACACAGCAGTTTTAGGTACGCCTGGTGCTGCTTCTGCACTCTTCACTGAACCAGGGTCGATTCCTTGACATGATGATAATGATAATGTTGGGGAATATATCATGGGTCATGAGGTTTCAGATTGTGTTGGAATACAGTTCCGCTGCAGTCCACAGATCCTTGTGGATGCCCAGTTTTGCGTTGCCAGGTCTGTTCTGAATCACCACAGGGTCTGTATTATGGATGCAAACTAGGAGCAGAATTTTAACTCACTCAAAAACTATTTGTTTACAAAGAGATAAAATTGGGCCCTATCGTTTAGTTGAAAGATTTCAAATGGTGCAAACATGCGCATGTGTCTGTGAAAGCAGTTTAGCGTCACATGACCACCGCAAGTATAGTGTAGCTTCTGTTCAGGCTCAGAGTGCAGCAAAACTCCCTGGGAAAATAGTCTCAATTCACCTCACTGCAGAGTTAGCTTGGATGTTTATAGTGTGCAGATTTCGCACCGCATTATATAAGATAAACCACTAGAGATATTACAGTGCCAAAACAGAACACTGAGCACTGAAGGTCACACCAGAGATTATGCTTCATCTGAAACTCCTTCCATTTCACACCTCGCATCCTATCAGCATAAACTTTTATTCCTTCATATACTTATCTAGATTCTCCTTAAATCACCTAGGAAACAGCTTTGAACCCATTCTAAACTTGTTTTGAAAACACCCCTATATAGACATTGCCCAAGGCTCTCGTGTATTATTCTGGTTCAGTTCCTGCCCATTTATCTGAAACGTCATAGTATGTTCTTTTTTACTGTTTAGTATTAGTATCAATGATCGCTAATTAACATGAGACTTGGTAAAGTCTGAAAATGATTCTGACTCCTGGATGGGACAGAAAACAGTATGACCTCTCGCTGCAAAGGTAGATTTCTGCTGGAACAACAGATGCTTGGTAGTTGACAGTCGGAGGAAGACCACTTTCTGGACAAGAATCATAGAATCCCTACAGCCCAACAAGTCCACACCAACCATCAGAGCATCCTGCCCAGACCCATCCCCTTATAACCCACCTAATCTAGGCATCCTTGAACACTATTTAGCATGGCCAATCCAGCTAGCCTGCAAATCTTTGGATCGTGGGAGGAAACCAGAGCACCCGGAGAAAACCCGCACAGACATGAGGAGGACGTGCAAGCTCCACACAGACAGTTGCCCGAGGGTGGAATTGAACCTGGGTCCCTAGTGTTGGGAGGCAGCAGTGCTAACCACTGAGCCACCATGCCACCCTCACTTGAGGTCCATTTGATGTTGTTTTCACTTGGGCCTGTAAGTTGGTCTTCCAACTGGACGCTGCTAAAACATGCACATTGGAATCCTGCAATGGAAGCCCAATTACTGTTTTCAGATGCAGGGCACAAAATGTGTTTAGTGCGCACTTCTGGACATTTGTACCAGGCAGTACACAGTCCGACTGACTGTTCTGTTTGGCAATCATAGCTCACCAGCTATACTGGCTGTGACTGAACAAGTACAGGACTTGCTACATGGGGAAGCAGAACAGAGAGTTGTGGCTTGTCTTGGAATCAATGACATAAAGAGTTAAAGGGTTGAGGTCCTCAGGCAGAATTCAACTAAAAGAGAATTTCAAAAGGTGGGACATGGGAGTGAATTTTCATAAATATTTGAAGGAGGGCATAAAGTTAAAAAAGCGTACAGAATGCTTGACATTGCAAACAGGGTAAATGAATACAAAAATATGGAGGTTGTGTTAAACCTTTACAAATCCACATTTAGACCTTGGTGGATTATTGTGCTCTGTTCGGGGTATCGTACTTTATGAAAATGTTCAGGTTTTGGAGAGGATACAGAAGAGGTTTTCTAAAGAGGTACTGGGGTGAGGAACTTCATTTGTGTTGAGAGAGTGGCAAAGCTGTGATTGTTCTAACAAGAACAAGGGGAGACCTAAAAAAGGTCTTCAAAATGCTAAGGGATTCGAAGGAAGTAGAGAGAAATGGTTTCTACTGACAGGTGCATTAGTTAGCAGATGCTTTAAATAACTAACACAAAAACCCCAGGGACAGTGTGGAGAATGTGTTTTCTTTCGGCAAGTGGTGAAGTCTGGAACACATAACCTCAACAGGCAGTATGCGTTTGAAGACGACTAATTTTTGGGGTTATGGGACAAAATACGGGTGATGTGAGAAATAAACTTTTTCACACAGCAAGTAGTTAGGGTATGGAATGCACTGCCTGGAAATATTGTGGAAGCAAATTCAATTGAGGCATTAGATGACTGTATGGATAAAAATGGTGAGCAGGGATATGGGGAAAAGGCAGGAGATTGTCACTAGATAATAGAACCAGTGCAGACACAATGGGCCAAATGGCCTCCTTCTGTGCTGTAAAAATTCTGATTCTGTGAACTACTGGAGTCCGAAAGGGATCAGTGCCGCGTCCTTAACTGTTGACAATGTACATATCCCGCAACATCCTGGTAAATCTCTTCTGAACCTTCTGCAGCTTGGTAATATCCTTCCTATATAGGGGCGACCTCAGCTGGACACAGTATTCCAGAAGAGGCCTCACTAATGTTCAGTACATCCTCAACCCCTGTAAACCAAGGACTGAGCAATGAAGGCAAGCATGCCAAACATCGTTTTAACCACCCCTAGATCCCTCTATGCTACAACATTACCCAAGGCCCAACCATTAATTGTATAACCTCTACCCTTGTGTGTTGTACTAAAATGTACTAAAACTTCTGAAGAAGGGCCCCGACCCAAAACGTCAGCTTTCCTGCTCCTCTGATGCTGCCTGGCCTGCTGTGTTCCTCCAGCTCCGCACTGTGTTACCTCTGGTTGACCAATGTTCTTTTGGGAAAGAAATCTGCCATCCTTACCTGGTCTGGCCAGTGTGTGATTCCAGACCTTCAACAATGTGCTGGTCTCATGATTAACCTCTGGGCAATTAGTGATGGTAATAAATGCAGGTAAAGCCAGTGATGCTCACATTTAACAAATGTATAAAAAGAAATGTGAACCAGAATGATTTAAAACCCACAAGCATGGGTTCATATGGTAATTCTTGGTTTCATCTGACCTCCTGTATTCGATCCCTACCATTTTAATTGTTCTCAAGTGTATAAACTCCAGCAATTATATTACTTTTTCTTAGGTGTTTCGCAGTCTTGAGGAGAGAACCTACGCTGTGAAGTGCATCCACCTTCCACACAGTAAGAAGTGTGCTGAAAGTGCCTTTCTAAATGAGGTGAAGATTCTTTCCAAGCTAAACCACAGGAACGTTGTGCACTACCATGATGCTTGGATTGAAGAGATGGAGCAGCTGGTGACCGCTGAATGGATCGATGAAGCTCAGTCAGATCCTTGTGACAGCTCATATGATGCCATCCTGGCTACAGCACCTCCACCATGTAGCAACTCTGTAGAGTGGACAGACAGCAACACAACTAATTACACAGGTTGGTGTTGTCATTGCAGTCGTATTTTCTGCTGGTCTTTAATTCTTGAAATGGCTCCCTTCGTCTTCCAGTTGAGATGTTGAACCAAAATGTTGTCCTGACTCTCGGGGGTCACAGAAAAAAACCCACTGCACTATTTGAAGGAGAGTAGGGGAGTTATCCCTGCTGCTCTGATCAACGTTTATGTTCCAACCAACACCACCAACACAAATTACCTGGTCACTTGGTTCATTGTTGCTTATGGGGATTAGTTGTGCTCCAGTTGGATGAGGCAGTCCCTGCATTGCAACAGTAAGGACAGTCCAAAAGTAATTAATTGTTGTGATGTGCTTTGTGAAGTCGCTGTGTCGTGAAACAGATGTTCAGCAACAAAATAAATCAGTAATGTCCCACAAATCACTGCCGGTGAGCTTTTCACTATGGTGCCATGAAAATTGCAAATTGAATTTGTGCTCAAAACGCAGGCTAATTCTGAACGTTAAAAATCCAGCATTTGTAGAAAAAGCTACATGGGGGATGACTGCAAACTGGAAATGTTTGGTTGCTGTCTTTATCAACCCATGCACAAAGCAGCAGGTAGGACCTTGACATAACAAGTTGTAGAGCTGGATGAACACAGCAGGCCAAGTAGCATCAGAGGAGCAGGAAGGCTGACTTTTCGGGCCTAGACCCTTCTTCACAAATTCTTCAGGTAGGACCTTGAGCTGAGTTGTGTACATTGAGAACTTTATGAAATCATTTTTTGTTGTCACGCATCTGCATTTCACCAGTCTCTTGTAGGGACTGCTTGAGATCTAGAAAGTATATGTACCTTTTTAAGGTGCCATAAATTAGTTGGGAGTTGAGATTTTTATATTAGTAGTAGTAACATCAAAGCTGTATCCATCCTGTATGTCCTAGTGGTCATTGACATGAGGCTGAAAGCCTTTGACCTTTAATTGAAGTGGTGGATTTTCAGAAGGACACCTGCTTGTTTCCCAGCTGGAATATGGGGTAGGGACATGTGAAGAAAACTCAGGGTGGACCACGGCCCTTCTATGGTGCCCAAAGCCCACCGATGCAGTGTTCACAAAGACTTCGAAGCGGACACCCAGTACTTCCACCTGTTCGAATACACAGATTATGGTTTGTTAAAAATGTCAATGTCAAAAAAGACAGAGCAATTATTCTCCACACTTAACACTTTCTGAGTGAGTTGCCAAGTCATAGAGTTATACAGCACAGAAACAGACCCTCCGGTCCAACCAGTCCATGCCGACCATAATTCCAAACTAAACTACCTACCTGCTCCTGCCCCCTATCCCTCCAAACCTTTCCTGTTCATGCACATATTCTTTTAAATGTTGTAACTGTACCCACATTCACCACTTCCTCTGGAAGTTCACTCTGCACAAGAACCACCCTCTGTGTAAAAAAATGATTTGCCTCCCATGTCTTTTTCAAATCTTTCTCCTCTCACCTTAAAAATATGCCCCCGAGTCTCGAAATCCCCCATCCTAGGGAAAAAAACACCTACCATTAGCTGTGTCTACACCCTTCATTATTTTGTAAACTTCTATCAGGTCGCCTCTCAACCTCCTACACTCCAGTGGAAAAAGTCCCAACCTATTCAGTCTTTCTTTATAACCTGAACCTACTATACCCAGCAACATCCTGGTAAATCTCTTCTGAATCCTCTCCAGCTTCATAATATCCTTCCTATGAAGGAAAAAACAGAGTTAATGTTTTGGGTCTGACCCAAAGCGTTAACTCTTTCTTCCTTCACAGATGCTGCCAGACCTGCTGGGCTTTTCCAGCAACTTTGTTTTTGTTCCTGATTTACAGCATCCGCAATTCCTTCGGTTTTTAATATCCTTCCCATAACTGGGCGACCAGATGTGGACATAGTATTCCAAAAGGGTAAGGAGGTGTGTTCCCATGAACTCCAGAGGACATCATGTGGTACATTCCTGACTTGTGCCTCTGTGCTGTCTAACCACTGGACTGGATTGGACCCAACTCCCTCAGCACTAGCGGCTACCACCCTTCACCCCCTGGCTGATTTCCTGTCCTTGGACAACTGACAAGCTGCAGTGGAGTGTCAACCTGGTTCCCACAGCTTGCCACCAACATTCAGCTGAGGTCAGAATCTGAAATTGTGTTGAGTCTCCTAATATTGGCTTCACGTAGCCTGTGCTGAATTTCCGTCTGTTTCATATGACACAAAACAGTTAACAGTCATTTTGTAAGTTAAGAAGCGCAGAGAGAAAGCTTTCCTCACCGTCATTATTGAACAGGCCTTGAGGTTATGGGCTAATAGCCATCAGAACAAGAACATCTATCCCTCTCTCAGAACTGGACTCCTCTAAAAGTCAAAATTAATTCTAATAAACTCCTAAATGCATGATGAATGAGACAACATGTTCGCTACTCACCACAACGTAGTGTGTTGTGTTTAACTGTCCCAGAGCAATGGACATTCTATATGATTTGAACATATTTCATTTACGTAGTTTAGGGAAATGGTTGGCATCCAGGTGCTTGTTGAAAACTGGGCAAAACAGGTCGATATTGTTCGCATCAAATAGTATTTATTCTGCTTCTATCGAATAACAGCACAGGAGGATTTTGTGCGTATGCTCGTGCTGGCTTTTCAATTCATCTCATTCCTCTACCTGTTCCTCAAAGCCATTTATATTCCCCAGTTCAAAATACCTCACTGATTCCCTTTTAAAAAAACGCATAGAGTTGTAGGAGATAAGCAAAATATTGCAGACGCTGGAATGCTGAAACAGAAAATGCTGAAAATGCTCAGCGTTTCTGGTAGCTTTGAGAGAGAAAACTGTGCTAACTTTTCAGGCCTGTGACATTTTATCAGAGAACGCGCTGAAATAGCAGACAGCATTCTTTTAACTCTGCGTAACTGACTGGGCTTGAGTGAGTTAAAATCTCACCCTCAGTTGCTGACGGCATGCTGCGAGGTAGCAGGGGTTTTCTTAAGATTCATACTGTCTGTAGTGAAATCTCATTTTGTTTTCTCAGGCGATGTAGATGATCAAGCTTCTGTATCTCCAGTTACAAAGCACAAATGTCCAGCGGGTGTTGCTAAGAGATCGGAGATGGGAAGCACTGTGTCTGAACACATCAATGAAGTTCAAGCATCTGCGGTAAATGTTGCCTCCCAGTTCTGCAGTTCGCCCATCGGCAATTGGGGATCGGTGCAGGGAATTGAGGCTGGCTATCTCTGAATAAGCCAACTGTAAATAAAAACAATCTCCAGCCATGGCTAGGAGGTGACCCCTGTGAGCTGGGCCAGTGTAGCTGTGGCCCACTGGCGTCTTCGGCTCATTGGGGAAGGTTTAGCACAGGAGGCCTGCCAATCGTGGTTGTATCTCTTACCCCACCCTGTCTTCCCCAAGCCAGCTGCTGGCAAACTGGCACCATGCACTTGGTTGGCAGTCACACCAGCAGTGGCCCCACAGATGAGCATCCAGTTGTGTCGAATGGCTACCTGTCATTGCTGGATGGGCACCCTCTGCAGGTGCGTGGAGGAACTTCAAGGCATTAGGTCACAGACGCAATGCCTCTGCTTCTCAAGCTCCCTCATGTCTAACGCAGAAATGCATCCATTTCAAGGCACTTCAAGAAGAACGTCAAGGTCTCGGTGAGGATATAGAGGAGATTTACTTGATTGGGTGGCAGGACTTCACCTATGCAGAGAGTCTACAGAAAAGACTTTAACATTTCCAAAAAGGTGAAGGGCTTTGGTAGCGCAAATGGGGAAAAAACTGTTCCAGTAGCATTTGTTTCAATAACCATAGGGTCAAATTTAGGCTCATTGGCAAAAGAATCACAACAAACATCAGGAGAATTGCTTTTATGTATGGAGTTGCTGTGAACTTTAATGCATTTTCTGCAAGGGTGGAGAAAGTAGATTCAAAGTATTTTTCAAAGTACTTTTCTGAAGAAGGGCCCCGACCCGAAACGTCAGCTTTCCTGCTCCTCTGATGCTGCCTGGCCTGCTGTTTTCCTCCAGCTCCACACCTTGTTACTCAGACTTCAGCATCGGTAGTTCCTACTATCTCTCTAGATTCAATATAAGTTTGAAGAGGGAATTGGATCAGTACTTGAAGGGAAATATTTGGAGAACTTCGGGCAATGAAATATAAGTAATTAGGAGCAGTTTTTTTTTAAGACCCATTATGAATTCTTCTAAGGTTCTTGCGAAGATTTGTAGCTCGGGTTGTGGGTGAGGTTGTTGACTTGCTCACCGAGCTGGCTGGTTTTCGTTCAGGCATTTCGGTACCATGCTAGGTAACACCATCAGTGGAGCCTCCAATGAAGCGATGTTATTCTACTCTGCTTAGTACTGACATGATCTGGTCTGTTGAGGTGTTTTGTGTCATTTCCAGTTCTTTTTTGCAAGGGTGTATATATGGGGGCCTAATTCCACATGTTTGTTGATTGCATTATGGGTGGAGAACCAGGCCTTTAGGAATTCCCGTATATATCTATGGTTGGCTTGAACCAGGATGGTCACGTTGTCCCAGTTAAATTGGTAGCCTTCGTTGTCCGAGTGCACTGAAATGAGGGAAAGTTCGTCATGTTTTGCTGCCAGCTGGTGTTCGTGTATCCTGATGGCTAGTTTCCTTCCGGTCTGGCCGATGTAATGTTTCTGATAGTCCTTGTGCTGTATTGTACAAAATACATTAGGGAAAATTACTGGAAATTTTCTATCATGGATTTGAACACAATGTTTAATTAAGTGGGTGGATTTGCTTAAAAAAAAGTGAGAAAATTGATCATGTTAAATTAAGTGTGTGTGATGAAATGGGATGAGGTTTGGTTTGCAAAACAGTGCCTTTTTTTTAAAAACGGACATCATATTACCTGCAACAAGATGATTAGGGGGCTTCTTATACAATTGTAGAATCCCTACAGTGTGGAAGCAGGCCTTTTGGCCCATCAAATCCCCATTGCCCCTCTGAAAACCTTCCCAACCAGACCCCCCCCCCCCCCCCCATCCCTGTAACCCTGCATTTCCCATGCCTAACCCGATCCCTGCACATTACAAGGCAATGTAGCATGGCCAATCCACCTAACCTGCACATCTGATGAAATTTTACAAACAAATTGAGGGATTTCAACCAACCAACATCCAAATGAACAGGAAACATTATTTGTAATCCTGATTCAAGTATTAGTGGTGAGCGCGGAGACTAGATGACTGCAATTCCTAATTGGTATACAGCACGTCAGATGCTTGAACTGTTCACATGATTTCTTCCATGGGTAATAAAGTCTCTGTTTTATTCTAGCAGAATGCTCTAAAGCACCCTGACGACAAACATTTGAAGAAGCTTAGGTTTCTTTTTATTAAGGTAAGGAGCAACAAAATGAATCTTTAGCTTCTGTCTATTTTCTGTTTATGGGTAAAGTTTTGTGGAGAATTCTTGCAAGACTTTGGCAGCCTATAGCTGAATTAGCTAAAGACTCTGTGTTAAGTCGATTCCTTCTTTAGTTCTGGCAGCCTACTATCTGTCTTGGTGTTGTATACGTCAACAGAATTTGTAGATCTATTCCGCTTAACTGCAAATGAAATTATGATTTAAGTCCTATTTCCTGAAATGTGTTTCACTGGTGCTTGATTCAGATGGATTTTTGCAAGATGACCCTTGAGAAATGGATAGAAAACCATGGTCACGCAGGCAGCAACTTCAAAAGCTGTTTGAAGATCATCAAAGAGATGCTTCAAGGCTTGAGATACATCCATAGTCAGGTAACTTTGATTGAATATTTTACTGTAACCCACATTAACATAGTATTTTAAACTGCCGTGATATTGAACAGTAGTTGTGAGTTCCTGCGATCCATTCAGAGGCAATGTTACAGGCACAGAGAAAGAGAGCGCGAGGCACCAAGTCAACTGCAGGACTTCTTCAAAAGCTGTGGAAAGAAGTCAATTATGGGGCAGCGCAGTGGCTCAGTGGTTAGCACTGCTGCCTCACCGCGCCAGGGACCCGGGTTTGATTCCACCCTCGAGTGATTGTCTCCGTGGCTTTTGCACATTCTCCCCGTGTCTACGTGGGTTTCCTCCGGGTGCTCCGGTTTCCTCCCACAATCCCAAGATGTGCAGGTTAGATGGATTGGCTATGCTAAATTACCCATAGTCTCCAGGGATGTGTAGGCTGAGTGGGTTAGCCATGGGAGGTGCAGGGTTGCAGAGACAGGGTGGGATGCTCTTCAGAGGGTCGGTGTGGACTTATTGGGCTGAATGGCCTGCTTCCACAGAGTAGGGGTTCTATTTTCTAACACACCTATAACAATTACTTGCATAACCTTTTTGACAGACCCCATTGTGCTAATGATGAATGGTGGAGAGGAATTGGAGTCTTTTGAAGTTAAGATGCAGTACCCACAACTGTGCCAGATACTGTTTCATCGAAGTTTGGTGCAGCTGTAAGAAAACGCGCCCATTTCTATATGCAAATCCTTTACATTTAAAAACCTAATGTTATATATGTTGTAGCCGACAAAGCCACTTTAGTGACCTGTCCACATGGACTGCTTCAGAGCTCCAGTGTTCGTAGATTTTTCTCACCATTTGATTTTTCTTTTTGGTCAGAAATGGATGGCCCTGCATTTTGGTGTATTAAAAGCCACCTTCCAAATGTGCTGCTCACTTGATCTATTCATGTCTCATTATCATTGTATACACTTTATGTAACTGATCTTTGTGTCATCAGTGAACTTGGTGTCTACAGTTTTATCTGAGTCGGTAAGTACAGCACAGAGACTCGTTATTAGATTCCTTCCAGTTTGATTACCCACTTTTCTGATTCACTGGGCGGAATATTTTCTTCTCTTTGGTAGCAAGTTTGGATGCAAGAATAGTTTTTAATTAGCGTACCTTTTTTCATTCACTGTTGGAATGTGGGCATCACCGACTGTGCCCGTACCTAGTTGTCCTTGAGAAGGTCGCAGTGAGCTGCTTATTTTGAACTGCTGCGGGCCCTGTGCTGTATGTAGACCCACATTGCCTCTAGGAAGGAAATTTCAATATTGTGACCCAGCCACAGTGAAGGAATGGCGATGTATTTTCAAGTCAGGGTGGTGAGTGGCTTGGAAGGGAGGGTGCATCTAGTGGTATTCCCATGTACCTGCTGCCCTTGTCCTTCTAGATGGAAGCGATCGTGGGTTTGGAAAGTGCTCTCTAAGTATCTTTGGTGGATTTTCAAAGTGCATCTTGCAGACAGTTCTGCAGCGACTGTGTGTTGGTCATGGAGGGAGTGGATGCTTGTGGATGTGGTGCCAATCAAGTGGGCTGTTTTGTTTTGGATAGAGTCAAACTTCTTGAGTGTTAATGGAGATACACCTATACAGGTAAATGGAGAGTATTCCATCACTCCCGACTTGTGCCTTGTAGATGGTGGACAGGCTTTGGGGAATCAGGAGGTGAGTTACTTGCTGCAGGATTCCTAGCGTCTGACCTGCTCTTGTAGCCACTGTGTTATATGTCCAGTCCAGTTGAGTTTCTTGTCAATGGTAACCCCCAAGATGTTGATAGTGGGGGATTCAGTGATGGTAACACCATTGAATGTCAAGGGATGGTAGTTAGATTATCTGGTATTGGTGATGGTCATTGCCTGGCTTTTGTGTGGCGTGAATGTCACTTGCCACTTGTCAGCCCAAGCCTGGATATTGACCAGATCTTGTTGCATTTGAACATGGACTGCTTCAGTATCTGAGAAGTTGCGAATGGCACTGAACATTGTGCAATCATCGGTGAACATCTGCACTTCTGACCTTATGATGGAGGGAAAGTCATTGATGAAGATGGTTGTACCTAGGACACTTAGCCTGAGAAACTCCTGTAGAGATGTCCTGGAGCTGAGGTGACTGACCTCCAACAACCACAACCATCATCATTTGTGTCAGGTATGACTCCGACCTCTTTGGCGGCATACCTAAACCCTGCCTCCTCCAGAATTGCGTTCTGGGCAGGAAGGCCCATGATACCTGCTGAGGCCCACCTCCCTTTCCTTGCTGTTGACCCCTCCCACCCCTCACTGCCCCTTACCCACATTACCTTGGTCACTTGTGCTGATCCTGGGACTCCAGAGTCAGTGCTGACAGCACCCGCAGCCTTCTCTATGGTGAAGCTGTGTGCAAGAGCAGCCCCCTTCTGATTGGTTCCTGCCACGAGGGTCTTGATTTGAGGGCAAGTGCCCACAGCTGCCCCTACCATTGCCTGATTGCCTTGTAGCTCCTTATGAAAGGAGGCAGTGTGGGTCCTTCACTGGCTCTGCATCTGGCAGCAGATACCCGTCATAATTTAACAAGATTCCACACCCTCGTCTTCTACTGCCTTACCAATTTCCTACCCAGGCCCATTACTTTTCTTTCATTCACCCACAATCTCTCGTCTATGGACCTTTATCAAATTTCTTCTGGTAGTCCATTGGCACCTCCCAGTCTACTGGAGTCATACAGCATGGAAAAAGAACCTACGACCAACTCGCCATGCTGACCAAGTTACCCAAACTAAACTAGTCCCATTTGTCAGTGTTTGGCCTATATCCTTCCAAACCTTTCCTATTCATGTATCTATTCAAAAGTCCTTTAAATGTTGTAACTAGATCTGTATCTACCACATTCCCCGATAGTTTATTCAACATAAGCGCCACCCTGTGTGAAAAAGTTGTCCCTCAGGTCCCTACTTGAACTCCCCTACCCTAGGGAAAAAGATCTTTGCTCTTCACCTTTTCTGTTGGCTCTCATGATTTTAAAAGTCTCTATAAGATCACCCCTCAACCTCCTACACTCTGGGGGGAAAAAGTCCCAGCCTGTCCAATCTCTCCCAATAACTCAAACCCTCCAGTCCCGGTAACATCCTTGTAAATCTTTTCTGCACATTCCAATTTAGTAACATTCTTCCTATACCAGGGCGACCAAAACTGTACGCAGCACTCCTACCTTAGTTACCTTCTCAAAAATTCTATCAGGTTATTTTTAGGTCTGTCTTACCCTTTTAACAATTCCTTGTAGGTTGGGGGGGAAGGAGGCAGCAACAGGAAGTTGAGTAGGATGGCAAGATGTGTGCCATGTCAATAATCTTCCCACTGCTGCTAGCGCTTTGCCAGCAAGTGGTGGGTGGTTGACCAATTGAGGCCCTTGAGTCTCCAAACACCAATGCCAAGGAAAACCTAGTGGTCTCCCTATA